CACTTGTTAGTATTTCCCACACATTTCTTCCACATAGCATCTACCCAATACCTATGACCAACTTCCACCATCCCATTGGCTCTAGGGTTCTCTGCCGATATATGGATAATAGGAACGTGATAGCTTTTGACTAGTGTTTCTACTGCATCCTTGAATTCTGAACCATTATCAGTTACTATCTGAGGGATACAACCATAACGACACATAATATCCTCAAATATGAACTTTGCTATTGCCTTTGAACTCTTATTACGAAGCATTCTGGCTTCTAGCCATCCCGATAAGTCATCCCTGGCATCCACAATGTAATTGTATCCAGATGCCTTAGGCATATGTATAGTGTCCAATGCAAATTTTTGTAAAATAGTTCTGACATATGTAGGTCTAATGGGAATCTTTGGTCTATAACTGGACCTAAATTGACATTCCTCACATGTCTGACAAAACCACTTCACAAACTCATACATTTTAGGCCACCATACCTTATCAGAGAGGTTCTTAAATGTAGGATTCCTACCTCTATGTCCTGCTTCATCATGAGCTTTCTGACATAGTTCTATTCTCTTGTCTATGTCCAATATTACGAGTAGTGGAGGTCGTTGTCTGTTACGACGCCACAATCTTCCATCTCCCCAATAATACTTTTTGACCAACATTAGAATTTTTCTCTTACCATTAGTGTCTTTAGGTAGTTTCATCTCGAGCAAATAATCTATAATGGGTTGAAAATACTCCCTTTCTCTCTCTGGGTCAAATGGCATGTCTAATGGTTGTCTAACACCTTCTTCCTCTATTTCTCCTGACAAGGTTTCATGGATTCCTTGCCAGTTAGGACTGTCTGGATTCTCATCCTGATACACTAGTACTTGTGGTCGCTTCCACTTGACTTCTAATGGGAAACATTCCACAATGGGATTGTTCAACCGAGATAACTTCTCAATTGTCCACAGATCTTGTGATTCTTCATATGAATAATCTGCTAATTCCTTTTGAAATCCATTGAGTTCAATGACTCCTAAGGAATCGTAATTCAATATATTCTGAGTTTTCACAAAGTTATGATCATCTTCATAATCAATTTCTGCTTCTGATTCCGATGAATCTTCCTCTGCAGGTTCTCTCCTTGAGAGACCATCAGGAGCTCTATGTCTGGTAGCTGGGACATGTTCCATTTCAAAGTTGTAATAATGCAAATAGGCTATCCACCTAGTCATAGGCATATTTGGCAAATCTGGATTATTTACCATCTGGATAACCGATCGAGCATCAACCTTGATTCGAAAATGAAATCCCCAAAGATGGTGCTTGCAGGCTTTAACTGCTCTAAATACTCCATATAGCTCCAACTTTGGTTGTGAATATCTACCTTCAGTCTCACTGAATGTTCTAGATCCAAATTCCAGTGGATATTCAATTCCATCTTCCATTATTTGATACAGAACCCATCCAACTCCAGTCTGGGCACTGTCCACAGCTAAAGTGACTAAGCCTATGTCAGACTCACATTGATCCTTTGGTTCAATTCCTCTTGCTAAGTTAAGGTTCAATGGTTTGATGGCTCCAGACTCTTGGACCGCTAATTTCAAAGTGTCCATAGCTTCCTGAGCTTCATCCGTCCAGTAAAACTCATTGTCCACTTGCTTTCTAGTGTACATAGTCAAAGGCTTTGCTATTATGGCAAAATCTTTAATCCATTTCCTGGCTACACCAACTGTTCCAAGAAATCCTCTAACTTGCGAAACATTTTCACATGGTTTCCACTTCATGATCTTAGATATAGTCCCATGACTCACTTTCTGACCATGAATAGAAACTATTCTTCCTACTAATTCCAGTTCAGGAGTTGCCAATATAAACTTCTTTCCTGAAACCGTTACTCCACTAATTTCTACTCTTGTAAGCAATTCATGCAAAGTATTTGCATATTCCCAGACAAATTGTCTTATTCCATGATTTTCTGGAATATTCTGGTCATCATACAAGGTAGGAGGACCTTTAATTGCGATATCATCAACAAATACTCCAGCCCGATCCGACATATCTTTAATTATGTGGTAGGTTCTTCTGCAAAATTCTGTTACAGAATTAGTGAACCCTTGAGGTAAACATGTCAGTTGTTGTGGACCTAAGTCATAGGCATGAAAGGCTGTCAGATGTCTACTTTCCTTGGCTAGTGTACATGCATCATATCCTGAGAATAAGTCAGCTATTCCATAGATTGAGTGTCCCGCAAATTCCTGTGCAAAATCATCAACCCTAGGTGGAAGACCTGCATCTCTGATAGTGACACTATTCAGTTTCTGTAGATCATGTACTAACCGATATGCTCCTCCTTTCTTCTCCACTACAAATATTCTCGATCTGTAAGCAGATTGAGAAGGTTCATATACTTTTCCTTCCTGTCTCTCTTTAATGATATTCACTATGGCTGATTTAACAGTACTGGGAAACCTTATGGGTTTATGTTCCCAAGGCTTATGTTCTACTGTCCTGATAACATAGTCAGGGAAATACTCTTGACTAAACACACCTCTTTCTTTACTGGAGTAGGCGAAAGCTTTTTGATGTATGCCTATCACATATAACAATAAATCAAACTCCTTTGGTTGTAGAAATCCATTGGGTACAGCATTAATAATTGCGTTAACTCGTGGTGGAGTAAATTTCTCTGAGTAGGGAAATTCTACTATGGGAGGAGGATCATAGGGTAGTACTGATAACTCTGTAACCTTGATCTCCTTATATTGTGGTATTGGAGCTTCTGGATCTCCAATTGGTACTGGTCTCTTTTTCTGCAAAACCGATTTATACTTAGCACCCATAATGGCTTTACTTGCATCTCTAGCCAACCTGATGGCTAAATTGTTACCTGTTCTTCGTGTTTTCATCATATGATATAAATGATCACAAAGTTCTACTTGCATACTCATACCTGTTGAATCCCAAAGTTGTTGCAGCAATATCATATGGGGCTGTCCCACTCCTTGTACATAGCTATGGCTCAACAGATCTATTGTAGGTATAGATCGTTGTGCATTACTAGGGAATAGCCCTAATGACTCATACAATGAATTGCCAACTGTAGGCACAGCTGGTAATTTATTCTCTTTCGCTAATTCTGAACAAGTTATGGAAGAGTCATCTCCATCAATAATTCCTGCATTAAATATTCTGGGTTCTGGTTCTCCTCTAATTATTTCGTATCTAGCACTGTTGGATGCATAAACTTGTATAGCAGAAGTCTGGAGATTTCTTTCATCGTTAATATTAGCCAATCTGACTTTTACAGAGGCATTACGTTTATCTCCATTAACCCAAGCATAAGCTATCATACCCTCATCTGAAGTATATTCTATGACTACTGCATGACTTGCTAGGAATGGTTGTCCAAGTACCATCCGTCTAAGGCCAATTATGCTATCCTGAGTCACAAAGAAGTGATGGTCAAACTTTACGCCACCAATCCTTACTGGTACCTCTCTACATAATCCCTTTAATGGTACTGGAGTCCCATTAATTCCTCTCAATTTGAAATCCCTGAACATTGTAGTATCCAATGGAATATTCAAATCTCTCTGAATGTCTGCTGAAATGAGGTTCAACTCGCTGCCAGTATCAACTAGCATCTCGATTTGACAATTTCCCACATATCCAATAAACTTTCCTGAAGTCATAGCTATGAACCGAGAAGGATCTACATCAGATTCCATCCTATAAATCCTTCTGGGGGTATCCTCTGAATCGCTATCGCTTTGGTCATAATCTTCTGACTCTTGTCTATACGATGCTCTCATAATATCCTGGTTAATCTCAACCATGTCTGTAGTAGCCTGTTTTCTATGCGATTTTGTTGCTTCTTGAAGCTTCTTAGCCAGTCCTACTGAAGAACCAATGAGTTCCTTCATAGTGACACTGACTGGTTGTTGCATAATTTTCTCAAATACGTCATCTACTTTAACCGAATCTTGAACTTCAGTAGTGTACCTGAATTGTTTAGCAACTTTAGGCTTTGTTGAAGCCATGGGAGTCATTTCCACATCTTGTCTTACTGACGATTCAGGTGGATCTTCCTCTGGAGGCATTACTATGATAGTTGGTTGGGGAATAGGATCATGAGTTTCCTCTTGAGAGTTCCCTGTCCTAGGCCTAGGAGTATTTATTACTACTTCTGGCTTAAGTTTAGGTTTCTGACTCCTACTAGATGTACTTGGTCTCTTTGTAGGGTCATATCTCTGCTTTTTGGTAGATTTTTCCGATTTGGCTACCTCGCCAACAATAGGATCTTCATACTTCGAATCCAATGCTACTATTTGACCGATTTTAAAAGGTGATTCCCCATGGTCTTCTAGGGTTAAATGAGCAACAGAGCTTCCTGATGCCTTACCCTTGCCCTTTTCCATCGAATGTGCTGTCACATCCAGCTGAAGACCACCATTCATCTCCACGAGTCCGTCAGGGAGGGCTTCTCCATCAAGATGCTTACAAACATCATCCAATTCTACCTCTACAGCATCTTCAACAGTCTCAGAGTATTGGTCTTCATGGACTAATGCAGTGGAATTAGGATGAATTCCACTGTCATCAATGGGATGCTTGCATGGTGCAGTTATGGCTTGAGCAAGAGCGGCATCTTGATGTGGAAGATCATCAAGAATGGCACACAGTGAGGGGGATGTGAGGCTAGAATGAGATAGATTGAATTTGCCTGAGCAGCACAATTCGAAAGCCTATGTGGTTGTAAATCTAGTGTAGCATCAGTCTGAAATGTAACTTACCTTTTGGATTCGCTGGGGGTTGTTAATTGAGTGGAATGCCTCAACCAGAGTGGCAGGGACATGGTCCCGCAGTGTGCCAAACTTTGTATAAAGCATGATATCGCATGGGCCAGCACCTTTTTGTAACTGAGAGAAGACCTCACGTACAATCGCAGTTTGCTGAGATTGCTTCATTGTGAGCTTGAGTAAGCGTTGAATACCCACATCGCAAGGTTCCCATAAGCCTGTGCACCCTCCAGGAACATAGTCCAGGATTATCCAGGGATAGTTATTAAAAATCCAAGTTCGGAATTCGAGTGAAGTGTGAATGGACCAGACATCAAGTTGCCACATGCATTCTTGAAGCGGATCAAGCCCCAAATGCTCCTTTGTGGCAGTAAAGTATGGGGCAAGGAGATTTGTGACAAACGATTTCATCATCTTTAAATTTGCCCAGTAGTTGTCAGTGCCTGAGTGTTCAAAGAGGAAACCAAGCTGATTTGCTTTGTCATGAGAAAGGGAGTTTTTGGCAGGAAGACTAGCTGTTGTCTTTCCTTTGAAGATGGCCTGGAAAGGTAGAAGAGCCCTACTCGCTGAGATAGCTATGTTGAGGGTAAACGTGCGCTTCTCATCTCGGCCAAGAGTTGAAACTTGACGTTGTAACCAGGCAAGATAGCTGCCCAGGCAAAAGAGTAGGGACCTGGGGGTAGTGTCTGAATTGGGTCGGAAGGAGGGAAAGGATGGGAGGTGGCAACAGTGCCGATACTGTGCCGTGGTCCGGGTGCTACTGACAATGATCAATAAAATCTCACAAAATAAGTACTCACTCCTGGTCCTTCTTGGACAGTCGTCAGGAAGCTGAGATACTGTATAAACTCGTACGTATGTCGCCCTCTGGCATCACTAAACTTATCAAACAACTTGTTACTTGGTGGGGGTGTCCCTTCTCATGGGGGAGTCCTCCGTACCATACATGAGAATGTGTGCTATAAGTGAGAAATTGCAGGGAAAAGGGGAAGAATAGAAATACGCCTCTATGGCGACACAGAATAGCAAAGAAAGTGATGGAAAGGAAATACAAATAAAAGCAATGGAAACAATATCGGAAACAATAAAATGAATGATGGAAATGGTATCCCTCCTAATTGAGCATCCAACAACCTTCTCCCGCCGTCCGAATGGACTCTCCTCGCTCGTAGCTTTCCAACGGTACTAACTTCATCCAAATCCATCCAGTGGTTCTCGAGATATGCCTGGAATTGGGTGGCCACTACATTGACAGGTGTGGGAATCTTGACTGTAGGGCTGGAAATGCATCAGAAAAATCGGGAAAAATAGGGAAAGGGTAGAAAGGGTATCTGGGACCGTGTATAAAGTGCCTCGGGTATGGGGTGTTCGTCAGGGTGTTAGAATCGCAATTTCTGGGCTTGTTTGTATGGTAGCGGAGATTCCCACCTACAATGTGATCCTTTTGTTTCATAAGTTGATTGTGAACCTTGTTGGTAAATGATTTGGGTTTGATCAGAATTTACTTGCAGGTTGCTGGGAATGAAGTAACGGCAAACAGAGTAGGCATGATGGAGGAGTGAGGCATGAAGCTGATAATCAGCATTAGCAGGGAGCTTCTGGGTGGCACATGTTGCCTGTCATAGACTCCAGTTCATCTCCTTGGTGAGAAAACTCCATATCCATTGTGTGCTGGTGGAGAATGTACTTCCATCTCTATTGACTATGGTCCTAAATGTTTCAGGGTGAGTATACCGGATATGTGCAATGATCACACCATGGATCTGGTGCACATCAAGAGCAACACTGTTTGTCAAATACTAAATAATATCTTCTTGATCCCCTTGATCATCTCTGGGTATGATGCCTACATTGCATGTGTGAGTTAAAATTAGTTTCGATGCCTGATTGATCACTAACCAGGAGCCCTTTTTGAGTGGTACATACCACCAGCCGGACAATTCCCCTTTGCAACTTTTCCCAAGACTGCCGTTGACCAACATGGCCATGATCCACTCCGATCTATCCACTTCCCAACTACATCTGCCCTCAGCAAATGGAATAACTTCCAAGACCTTCGCTGGCACTGCCTCGTTATCTCTATCGGTCTCATCTCCCAGCCAACCACTTCCGCTGCTTCACTTATGATCGTCCAGAAAATTGGTTGGAACCAATTAGTTGCTGCTGCTAATCTAAGTACCTTTCGCCTATCTGCTGGCATGGTCTTGTATGTGGACTTCCAATGCTTCTGTTCCTTTAGCCGTTGCTGTATCCCTTGTTTTGGTCTCAACATCTCCGTGACTGGTACTGCCATTTGGGGCCCTCCATTCCGGAGTTTCATTGGCGGCATCTACAAACATTAGGCACTGTTTGCTCTGACAGTAAGCTATACATACATCTTTTTTTTCCACCTGCTCTGCTGTGATCTTGGCATGGAGTCGCCGCTGTCTTGCAGCAGCTAATTCCCATTGCCTCTCTTTCCACTTCATTTCTTTGAGTTGTGCAACCTTATGCAGCTCTTCAGATTTCTCTTTTACTCTCTCAAACCTGGTTGAGACTTGTTCATGGTATTCTTCAGGGGTTGCATGGCTGAAATAATGTAGCAGTCCAGACTTTTCAATTTGTGCTAGGCACTTTTTTGCAAGGATCCTACAATGGAAAGTTGGAGGGCCCAAATGTGGTTCCGTTGGTGGTGGCATAACACGATAGGCATCCTAACAGACAAATTGGTAAGCATGTTATATTCTTTTTTGGCTTCACCAATCACTAACTGGCTTTGCACCGTGATGATTGAGGATATTATTTAGAAAATTGATCCTTAGGCTAATCGAGTCGCTGCCTATGTGGAGCATGTATCAGGTTGGCAGGAAGTGATGTGCTAATGCATTCAATGCAAAAAACCCGCAAGAAGTAACATCATTCTGGTATCCAATGAGAAGCGATGCAACACTGAATGATGCTACTGGCTTGTTCAATCCCAAATAAGACACACTCAACCACCATTGAATGATCTCCATCACCACTTCCATCGCTCTTGATGGGCTCCTACCAGGTTTGTGAAGAGAGTCCGCAAGAATGACTGTTGATTCTTTTGAGTCAATTATGAAAGGGATCCAATGGTTTTCGTTGACAAGTAGGATTCCACCGAAGTGAGTCACAACTCCAGATATCAGATCACTCCCAAGTTGACAGAGTGTTTTGTAAGTGGGTAGCCATTTATATGCTGCAAGGATTGCACTCCCTTGAGAAGCACATCCAGCAAGAAGTTGTGTCTCAAGCGGGGTTATCAGCATAACCATTGGGTTCGTAGTTTCTACATTGCTTTGTAAAATTTCAATATGATGAATAATATCTGTCGTGACCAGGCACGAAACAGAGATATATTGCATCAAAGCCCCAATGGTGCACCGTCCCATGTGTGAAACCCCTCAGATCTCTTCATTCCACCCACATGAAGTATGTAAGTCTCTGTTGGGCTGCCTCTATTGCAAATTGCTGACTGGGGTAACACATTATTGAATCCTCTGCCTGCCAAAGCTGTTGGAATTTGCATGTGGTCTTTTTTTTAGGGAAACCTAAAAGTTGGACATACTGGGAATCGAACTCCAGTCTTCTGGATCACAAACTCAGCGTGCACAGCCATTACACCATACGCCCTATTAGGCTGAGGTGGTTATTTCAACACACCCCCTTCACATTGGATTGACCATGTGATCCACATGTGACCCAAACCACCGGGGTTCCAACAACCCGTGAGCCGTCACCCCCTGAATTTATATTCAGGCCGGACTTACTGCTAATCTCCTACATGTCCACATCATGTGGTCTGAAGCAGCCGGATTTGGGTTCTTAGTGCTCTGAGCTACCCCCTGAAACTTTGTCAGGCCGGCTAATTTAATGCGTAACTTCATGTGCCCAGCTCACGTGGCAGCAACCGGATTTGGGTGTGCTCAGTGTATTCCGCAGAATGTCCACCATGTTGGGATGCAACTAGAGGCAATCTCAACCGAGGTAAGAGAGCTCTCATCATTTCTCAAACTCTGTGATGAGTTCCCTCATTTCTAGTCAGCTAGGACAATCCACTGCATGGACATCATCCTCTGAGAGTAGATCCATAGATGGTGGTTTATGACTGAGGCATGCCCCAGGGTTTTTTGTGGGGGTTTGAATGGGAGGAAGTTGGAAGGAAATGAATTCCCTGATGGACAGGGTTTTGTGAGGGAAGTAGGGTCTGATGAGAAATGCAGGAAGATTTTTGTATGTGATAGCTTCATCAGCACAAGAAGCAATGTGGCAAGCAAGAGAAAATCCATCCATAATGCCACCCAGAAAAGAAACCACGTAAATTTTGAGAATGGTGTAACAGAACACGAGATTTTCAGTTCAATTATTATTTTCAAATTCTCTGGCCAGGCACTTCCGTTGTCACGCTGTTCCTGGCTCCCAGTTGGCTGTCACACTAAATTCAGGCCTGCCGGTTGAATGTCCGACATAAAATTTTGTCATGGTCCAAAACCATCCGGTTGTTGGTCATGTGTGTACAGTATTCCAACTGATCCAAGTTCAAGCCCTGCATGTGATAATCATTTAATGTTAGTGGCACGAATCTCACTCTGTCTTAGTCCCATACCTCCATTAAATCGAAAACTGGGTTTCAAACAGCCCAATAGAATGTGAGCTGCAACAGTGGTGGGCCATGGCAAAGCATGGCTCACAGAAAGATTTTCAGTTTTTGTTGACTTGCTGTTTCAATCAGACTCGTACCCAGCCATCTCCGCTATGTGGACACGCAAAATCTTGACTAAGCGGTTGTTATATTACAATTCAGTTATAAAGTCACGTTCAAGTACAAAAGTGTATTACAATATAAAAGTCACATGTGACAGACATAAACACAAGTCCGATCACCTACTCCGGGAACCAACTTGCGACACTTTGCTCTGACGACTGGTGCAAAATGGCAGTGGCAGTACCACTCGGCAATTGCCGAGTTCGACACAACAGAAAGGGATTGCGGACATGTGAAGTTCCCACAAAAACATAAGTCGCACAATGGATCTTTTGGTGTTAACCCATGCAGTCTTGTACCCAACCCAACCCATAGCGCTTGGGGAGCACCTTGAGGGCTGTGAAATTAACACCTGGGCATGGGCGGAAAATCAACCCTTACATTGCTCCAGTTCATGCTCAGTAGTATAGGTGGCACAGCGTGAGCTAGCAATATGACCTTTTTTGGCTGTGTATGTTCGATTCTCAGCCGGTAAAACTTTGTTTTTTCTCATTCCTTGCTCTTTAGTGTGCACAAATTTTACAACTATTCCACAGGAGAACACAAAAAAGTTGTACCAAGTGAGAATCGAACATACACAGCCAAAAAAGGTTATATTGCTAGCTCACGCTGTGCCACCGATACTACTGAGCATGAACTGTATTTTAGGAGCAATGTAATATATAAGGGTTGATTTTCCGCTCATGCCCAGGTGTTAATTTCACAGCCCTCAAGGTGCTCCCCAAGCGCTATGGGTTGGGTTGGGTACAAGACCGCATGGGTTAACACCAAAAGATCCATTGTGCGACTTATGTTTTTGTGGGAACTTCACATGTCCGCAATCCCTTTCTGTTGTGTCGAACTCGGCAATTGCCGAGTGGTACTGCCACTGCCATTTTGCACCAGTCGTCAGAGCAAAGTGTCGCGAGTTGGTTTCCGGAGTAGGTGATCGGACTTGTGTTTATGTCCGTCGCATGTGACTTTTATATTGTAATACACTTTTGTACTTGAACGTGACTTTATAACTGAATTGTAATATAACAACCGCTTAGTCGAGATTTTGCACGTCCACATAGCAGAGACGGCTGGGTACGAGTCTGCGTTTGGTTGTAACACTTGGTAATCATTGTCACCCGTTGTAACACTCACAAAGAGTTGAAATGTGTTGAGACGATTGGGAAGTGTTACAATGCCTCGAAGCATTGGAATACATAATCAGGCACGTGTTGAAAGCGTTAAAACGGTATGTGCCGTGGAGAAGCTTTGTAACGCCCGATAACACGTCACAATGCTTGGACGGTGTTTTCCGACAACACTTAGCAATTCCAAAAAACAACCCACAAGAGGCGCACCGAGGATGAGAGGTTGAAGGCGGATTAAATGGCCTAGCGCCTCTCTCCTTCCCTCTGATGACCGATAAGCCCCAGGACTAAACCCTTATGCCCAGTAGGTGTGCTATTCATCTGTTCTGACTGCGAGGAGAGGAAAGCGGCCCCGATCAATCTGTTTACCGTTGTTTGGTTCGAAAAAGTTCCTCGTTTCTCGTTTCCACGTTTCTTAGTCCCCATCTTTAGCCCCTGAAGGCAGCATGGCCGACCGAATTCGCTGGGTAGCATCAGGGGCTAGGGTAGGGGTTAGGCTTCCTTCTTTTTCTCTTCTTTCCTCCCTTTTTGGTCCGGCTACCTCCCGCTTCGCATACCATGGGTGCTTTTAGAATTACTGGGTTGACCCTGATGGGAGCGGATGTTCACCTTAGGCTTTCGGTTCACGGCGTTGGGTAAGTTACTCATTCCGACGTCAGTAGGTCATGCTGTGATAAGTCGGCACGGGTAACCTACCTTCGGTTCGCTTGACATTTAGGGGTGCTGACCC